TTAGTTGTTAGTCAGTTGCATTAATGTTTTGTACCTTATGTGCCATTGATAGCCCCTGCGTGGGCGTACCTTTTGCCCTGTTGGCGTTAGAGCACTGTTTTTTTGGATTTTTTTTTTCTGTGCAATTGATAGCCCCTGTGTGGGCCTGTTTTATTGCCTCTGTTTTATAATGTTTAAAAATTAATAAAAACCATTGGAATAAAAAAAATAAATAAAGCATAGATGAGACAAGTGGAAAGATAGCACTGGGCCTGTAGGTTTATTTTGCTGGTATTCGCTTAAGGTATTAATGTTGGTGTAAACGATCTGGTTCCTGGGCAGACGGAAGATTTTCCTTTCAATCTGATATCGATACAATATCCCCATCCACAGGGTCATATTTAGAACCAAACAGTCAATAGTAATGAGAGTGTCAAAATAATTACACAAAAATGACAACATGAGTGCTGAACAGAAATGAGAGTATGGGCACTCCTGACACGTCCATGATGTGGCCATAGCAGGAATTCAACCCCCTTTCCCATTCAGCGGGCACTACCGCCTCCATACCATGGCTCATTGAAGTGAATAGGGCTTCTCTGCAATGGTTCCGCAAACCTGTGCAATGCATATGGCTGAGTTGCAGTAGTTTGTCCTCTAGGAGGTCAAGGTAGTAAGGAGGCGATATATGGCCTCCTCATCACCTGTCAAACTCCCCTGAAAAGCGATTCCAGTACAGATTGCTTGTGATAGGCATGGCAGTCTTTGCCGCATGTGTTAACGAGCCCTAAAACAGTTACATTCAAGACATGCCTTAAAAACTTTGTTATCAAACTGTCACAGTTGTTTGTGCTCCCAACAGAACTGTCAAGCCATCAAATGGCTGGAGTTATAACTGATCAGATGTGGAGCATCATGGCAGCTGCAGATCAGACAGAGGCTAAGATGGCAGCTTCTTTAGCTGTAAAGAACAGGAGGGTTCAGTTCCACTTTAAATCTTGACAGTATTTTTATTTTTTAATAGAAAGTGCTGCAGGAATTGTGAAACCACTGGAGTCACATTATGCTGTGATATCTTTGATATGAGAAAGCGAGCAACGCTTCTCTTTAAAACCTTTCATCCCGCTGTAGCCGCATGCGTGCTTCCATTTTTAAAAGCGCTTTTGTTGTGGGGTGCGGTGCGTTGGATCGATGCAACGTTCCATTGCCGTTATGTCCAGGAGAGGGTCACCACTGCTTTACGTTGAAACCACTCAGAGGCACCGAAATCAAAACTGGAAAAAGCTGGTCTCACTCGGCGCCTTGTTGGATGTAACTCCGCGTAAATAACATAATACGAAAACTGTGGAAAAGAAAAAAAAGAGATAAATATGAGCGCTCACAGCTTCTGGGCGACAAAAAGGTCATGTATACAGGCAAAAAAAAAAACGTTAATAATTAATCTCCCCATGTAAGATGGCCGCTTCCTGTGGAGACGACTGGGTGCTCATGTTTATGCATTATGCATCTGTTTATTTCAGAGGAAATCCTAAATTTAACCCAGTAGTAGGAGTGAGATTTGACCTGTCTGACTGGATTAATTATTTCTTGTCAAAAGAAAATTAAGATTTGTGCCAAGATGTTTTCAGGCGGCCTGGATGTGGGCCAATCCCAAGGTCACCGCACCTTTCTGACTGGAAATTGCTCGCCGGAATGTGCAATATAAACACCTCAGTATGAGATTGGCTTTTTGTTTATGTATGTGGCTGGAAATGAATGATAACCATTTATTTTATGCTGCAATAAACCGTCCTGGATAAATCATGTACTCCATGCCAGTAGGCCTTCTCAACGGGGGATGGCTGAGCAGAGAAGCCCATAGCAACCAAACTGCTATATTCATATAAGGGAAGGAGGATTTGTGATTGGTTGCTATGGGTTACTGTCATTAACATGGCAATCTAAGCCTTGTTGAAGCTGATGTCTTCAGCTTTTTAACCGCTTCCCCGCCACCCTGTAGCAGGGATGCGCAAAATCACATGTGTATGTACATATATATATATATATGTATATGTGATTTTGCATTTCCAGGTAGGGGACGCGCGTGAGCCCTACCCGTGCTGCCATTTGCAGCCGTGGTTGTCGGTCCTGGACCGTGATTACCCACCGGCGTCCAGGATTACTAAGGATCTCCGACGGGGAGGAGGGCTGCTTTGTTTACTAAGCACAGCACAGCCATCCAGAGCAGTGTGCTTACAGTGAAGCACCAACACACCATCCCCCAGTAAAACACACCCAGCACACAGTTAACCCTTTGATCGCCCCTCATGTTAACCCCTTCCTGTCCAGTGCCATTAGTACACTGTCTGTGCTTTTTTTTTTTTTTTAGCACTGATCACTGTATTGGTATCACTGGGGATGTCAGTGACACCAAGTCCATTCCCCCCAGTGTCCAAATGCCCGCTGCAGTCCCGCTATAAGTCGCTGATCGCCGCCATTACTACTAGGGAAAAAAAAATTCTAGTATCTATACCGCCATTTGTAAACGGTATAAGTTTCACATAAACCAATTAATTTACACGTATTGTGATTTGTTTTACCAAAGACATGTAGCAGAATACATTTCGGCCTAAATTTATGACGAATATTGATTTTTGAAATTTTTTTTTACTGGACATGTTTAATAGTAAAAAGTAAAACATATTGGGTTTTTCTCAAAATTGTTGGTCCTTTTTTTTTTTTTTTCATAGCGCAAAAAATAAAAATGCACAGGTGATCAAATACCACCGAAAGAAAGCTCAATTCATGGGAAAAAAGGACGTAAATTTGATTTGGGTGCAGCGTAACATGACCGCGCAATTGTCAGTTAACACAGAGCCGTAATGAAATAATGGCCTGGTCAGGAAGGGGGGTAAATCCTCAGGAGGGCAAGTGGTTAAATACACATTTGGCCTGGCACCAGCCTCTTGCAGTCTCTGTATGGCAGGCTGGAGTGTGAGAGGAAGAGGCAGCACAAGGAGCAAATCAATAAATGTGCTGATAGGAGAAGAGAGCATGGTGACAGAGAGATGAGCTCATCCCTGGGCTGCTTCTCCTTTCACTGTCCGGTCACAGACTGGGGTGGGACCATGAAGGGGTTGAATTATGCTGGCTGCCAGCCAGAGGAGATCCCAAAGCATACTGTGGATGGAATCTCTGGATTGAACGTCAATAAAGCAGCAAAATTTGGGTTTTGTTATTTGATTTATTGATAAATTGTTCATTTTATATATTGTTGCTTTTGGCTGGAGTTCTGTTTCAGATGGGCCTGGGATTTGCAGTGGTCCATATCCAAATTCTGCAAGTCTGACAACAATTTATATTGGTTGGTATGGGTTGCTGCCCTCCAAAACCTCTTCCCTTCAGAGCTCTGGCCAATGGTTACACTTTGACATTATCATGTACAATGCAAGACCAGCAGTCCTGCATTGTACATGAGGATGGTGGGGGACTCCTGAGAGGAGAGCTCCAGAAGACTGCTGGGGACGCCTGAGAGGAGAGCTCCAGAAGACTGCTGGAGTGAGGAATATGGTAAGTACTACAGAGCTTAGTTCAGCTTTAAAGGGTCAATCCACCTAAAGCTAATATTTGAGTTTTTGGTAGATCCTGGAATGTTAATCTGCCTCAAGTTTCTTCTATCTCTCAGGCAATGAAAGCAATGAGCAACTTTTACCTCTAAGATGAGTAACCATTATCAACATCAATCTTATAGTTATCTGTAAGGTGGGTGGTCTAACCAATTACCACAAATGTAAGGAGCATTCTTCTGAGTGACCATCACACTAATGTATGTGAACGTTTGATATGGTAGTTATAATAGGGGGTTCCCTAAGCCTCGAAAGTTATTTCAAGGGTTCTGCCATGTGAAAAAGGTTGAGAAAGGCTGTATAGTCTCTACAGGAGTAACAGGAGAAAGTTGAACATGCAAAGTTGGGTGGGAACACCCAAAACCCCCAGGTGGGGAGGTATTCATTGCAAAGGGATCTTGCTGTTGGAATATCCAAGACCCTTGTGAAGCCAGGGGCTTAAGCCATGTGTTCCGACTACAGCCAATATATAACTTTTAGATGAAGAGGCTCTTTAACTAAACAGACAATGGCTGCCTGCACTAAAACTGGTCTAAAGCACATTGTTTATGCCTTGGAAGTCCTTCTAAACATGGTTGCTTTTCCATGCACTTCATTGCATCACTACGTGTGCCTGACCATCATACTTTCTAATGGATGCCTCTCTGTTGGATGCAGAGGTTTCTTTATTGCATAGTAACGTGGTTGGAGCACACAAGATGCGTTGGATCAGCTTGAAGGTATGTAGTGTCTGCTTTGTCTGGCTATTTTAATCCAGTCTTATTTTGTTAATACAGGTTTCATTGGATATATTAAACTGTATCTGAAAGCTTTGAATGTTGGTTTTGGATAGTGTTTGGAAACATTACATAGCTACATAATCTGGTCGAAAAAAGTCATTCCAGTTCAACCAACTGAACTAAATTGTTAGGTTTTTAATGCTGTTTGTGTCCCAACTGGGGACATTTTATCAGGTTTAATTCTGTTCTGTGGTGTCCCCCAAACAGCTTTTGGGTGAAAAGTTTTTCTGCCCTGCAGGAGCATGCAGTGGGGAAACCTAATACAGCTCAGGTGCCAGATTCACCACAGATTCCAGAACTCTGCCATCCTCAAGAGCTCTGAAGAAAGGGGCATACCATAATTTTCTGAAACATGTTGGATGTACTTTAATTGAATAACAAATAAAAGTGGATCTCAACCGTCATGTTCCATGATTCTTTAAAAAAAATAAATTGAATACATTAAAATACTGACAAAAGTTCTAACCTCTTTTCAAAATGTAAAAATTGTTAGAGTATGGTGTACTTGGAATAGCTTATAAATATCTAATGTGAAGGGAAGTGGACAGCAGCCAATTAAATTGCATCTGCCATGTTTTTTTAGGGAAGGTTGAAAAATTAAAGAATGAAATTAACACCTACATATTGGCTTTTATAGGTGTCACCAGCAAACAGGAGAATATAAAGACTTTCAGCATCACAAACACAATTCAATTCCCTGTGGAGAGGCGGGACAATGGCGAGATCATCACCTGCGAGGCATCACATGCAGCCCTTAAAGGGCAGAAAAAGCAGACGCAGTATGTCCTGGATGTGCAGTGTAAGTTGAATTAATGACTATATTGTTCTGAGCTAGATTTAAAAGGGTAATCAAAAGCCCAGGCACAAAGATAACTGCCCAAAAAAAAGTTTAGATCACCCAAACATGCTTGTATATATCTATAGATGGGTAGATTCCAGCACCATACTAATCTCAGGAAGCTTCAGTAGTACACAACTCTTCAGCAAATTTTTTTCAAATGATGTAAAAATATTGCTTGTTGGACTTTCATATAGCTAACTGAAATATACAAGATTTACACTACATGTTATGAACTTCTGACAACAACACCTATATAAGCTTGTTGTACATCCCATTCCAAATCCATGGGCATTCATATCAGATAGAAAGCCCTTTGTGACTACAAGAGCTGTACTCTTCCGAGAAGGCTTTCCACAAGATTTTGAGGTGTGTCTGTGGAAATAAGTGGCCATTCAGCTGCAAGAGCATTTGTGAGGTCAGGTACTGATGTTGAATAGGAAAACCCAATATTTGTTTCAATTCATCCCAAAGTGATAGGAGACATCAGGGTTCTGTGAAGGCAACTTGATTTCCTCCACACCAAAATGGTCAACCTTGTGGAGCAGGATTTGTGCATTTGTGTGCATACATTTAGAAAAATTGTCTTCAATGTCTTTGTTTTCTGTAGCATTACTAGCACCCTTCACTGGAAACACCCAAATTATTGTAAAATATTTTCACCCACCGCCCCCATATTGATCAGGGTGAGTACCTCCTTACCCGTACGAGCCAAGACCAGTTTAGACAAGAATGGAGGGAGAGGATTTAGAGCAGGAAGGAAGATCCAAATTCAAAAAGAGAAGAAGAGAAATGGATTAAACAGTATATATAACTTCAGTGGTATAGAACTCACACATAAGGAGTTGAATATTCTAAACACTGGTTTGAAGTGCGCTATGAAGTGACCTATTAATAAATTTGATGTCTATATAGATACTCATAAATACATAAGGAAGTAAAAAATGAAAAAATATGTTTTGGCCGATGGAATTAGACCGCAATCCAATATGTTATTGATTGTTTGAACAGTGGCCTCAAGAATAGATCACTGTTCAATCCAACCATTCCCTCCAATCAACATTTGAATGTGTTTAAAAATCTGGTTTTATGAGATTTATCATCAGTGGTCCCAAAGAAAGGATTAATCCAAAACACATACAGGATGGTATAGAATCTTTGGAAAAATGTAAAGCTATCATTATACCGCCGGCCGACAAAGGAGAAGGGGTGGTGGTTCTAACTAAGACATTTTATCATACCCAGCTAATGGAAATATTGTCTGATTCAGAGACATATTTAAAACGTACCAGAGATCCTACTAGAGGTTATAAAGAAGAAATAAAAGGATTGATTGAATATGGTTATCGTACTCGGGTTCTTACTAAGAAAGAAAATAACTACTTAATTCCTAGCTGTTGTAGAATCCCAACCATATATACATTGCCCAAGATACACAAGGACAATCTCACCCCACCGGCCAGACCAATAGTCAATGGTATTGGTTCAGTCTCTACTAGACTGGGCCAATACATTGGCGTGTTTCTTCAGACTAGTGTTGGGGCTACTAAAGCTAATTTGAGGGACACCAAAAAAAGATTACAGCTCTTGGAGGAAGTTAATCTTAGAGATATCCCTGAAGTTTATCTGGTAACAGCGGATGTTTCATCCCTGTACACCATCATTCAACATGAAGATGTGTTACTGGCCCTTAACTGGGCATTGAGTAGGAGAGAGGATATTCCACATACCCAAAAGTGTTTTTTGAGGAAGTCTTTGGAATTCTGTCTCTCCCGTAATTACTTTTGGTATAATGGTGACTTTTTTTCCCAGACGAGAGGCGTTGCATTGGGCGCATGTTTTGTGCCAAGTATAGCCAATCTGTTTATGGTGGAATGGGAAGTTAAGCTTGTCTTCAACCATAGCCGTAAACAGATTCTGCTATACAAAAGATACATCGATGACTTGTTCTTCATCTGGGTAGGTCCTGAGGGAGAACTTGTTAAATTTTTGAATATGTTAAATAATCCAAATAATATCAAATTGGAATGTCAGTACAACAAAGATGAAATACATTGTTTAGATCTAATTATATTTAAGGACAACTCTTTATTCACCAAAACATATTTCAAGCCAACAGATCGCAACAGTCATCTGCCATGGCACAGTGGGCACCATCCCTCATGGCTTAAAAATATACCAAAAGGTCAAATAATGCGAGTAAGCAGAAATTGTCATGAGGATAGTGACTTCTTAATTCAATCAAAGCTAATTATGAAAAGGTTTATCAAAAAGGCATATAAACGAGAATCCCTCCAGGATACTGTTGATGAGATATACAATATACCCAGGGAGCATTGTCTGGAAAATAAATGAATGCAAATGGCAATAACCATCAGTGGGGATTTATATCTGATTTTCATGTTCAGTTTAGGGAGGTTGAAAATATATTTGCTAAGCATTGGCTTATATTGCAAATGGATAAGGTATTAGATCTATTACTGCCGGACAAATCAGTGTTTATATATAGAAAGGCCCCCACATTTGGAGATAGAGTGGTTAAGAAAATCATAGACCCCCCGGGTAAATTGGAAATGTTTGGGAATAAAAAAGTTTTTTTTCTTGTGCTGGAAATACCCAGCATGTAATAGGGTGGATAATAAGTTCAGGGGACTTACTAAATTTAAAGCAAATGGGAAGGTATTTGAGATTCCTCCTTTCATAACGTGTGAGATGACTCATGTTGTCTATGCATTGGAGTGCCCATGTGGCCTTATTTATATAGGTCAGACCAAAAGGCATCTTAGAAAAAGGATTAACGAATATTTACATAATTTATCCATAGGATACAAATACCATAGTGTGTCCATGCACTTTAGGAAGCACCACAACAGGGAACCTTCTTGTATTAAATTTTGGGGAATTGATGCTACTCCTCGGTCTTGGCGAGGCTCTAACAGGGTGAGGGAATTATCCAAAAGGGAAACCAAATGGATTTACATCACTTCTTCTTTAACACCTAATGGTTTAAATATCCAGGTAGACATCAATTGTTAGTGATTGTTGATGTATATTTGTTTAGTTTATTTGTATCATCAATTACCGTATTAGTCTTTGATAGATATATTTATTTTATTTTTAGTTTTTTTCATATATCTATGTTATGATTTATTGTTGATTTAATATTTGCTACATTAATTTAATTTAAATCTAATTTCAATCAAATTTAATTTACTTTATTTTAATTTTATGCAGATTTATTTTAATTTATTTCGTCTATTGATTTTTGATCTGTAATGTACAATAATGGAGTTCGTTGCAATTGAATCTGACCCAATTTATCTGATGTGTATAGGAAGAGTTTTTAATGTCCATAAGGTTCACTGTTAATTGACCTATTAATTCATCTAATCAGCCATTTAACATTTATCCACAAGATGGCAGCAAGGAGTGAGATTATTCAATTACTAATCTAAGGAGCGGCCTTATATAAGACCGCCCATTCTCACGCATGGTCACACCCTCAGAGGAAGTCGGAATGATGAAATGCGTCAGGGTGTTACCATCTGTGATGTCAGCACACACGTCGGGACCACGTGGAGTGATCACCTGACCGCTGCTGCGGGAATCCATAGGAACCAGTTAGTGGTGAGACTGTCACCAGCCGCAGAAGCAGCAGCCATTATATTGGAAGTGCTATGCTTACAATGTGCTTTACTTTTTAACTCAATTTGAGTGATATTTTAAGTTTTTTTTTTATGGAAATGTGTTTACGGAATCACACTATGTGGCTGTTTTATGTTGCCCATATATGCAGTGGAATTGATATTTAATCTAGATGATGAGGAGATCGGAGCAAGAGTGATCAATAATTCACTGATTGGAGGTTTGTTTTTGGGCTGCTGGCTGATTATCCTATTGTCGCTTTCACAACCATTCAGCATCAAGGAGGTTGATTTTCTATTGATTTGCCACTGCTGGTTATTCACCAGCTTCTGGTGAGTGTTTAATTTAATGGGGTGATAATCACTGCAGGATCACTTTCGAATTTTGTTTGATAATTTGAATTCAGATAACAAATTAATCTGAATTTTGTTCCATTCATTAATTCGGATGCACGTGACATCAGTCGATATTGTCCAATAGACTCAAGCCATTTCTCTTGTTGGGTTGGACTAGCGTCCGGAAATATTGAATGCATCTGATTTGAATCTGTCCGATTTTATAGTATATCGAATATACTTCTGATTTGAATCTGTCCGATTTTATAATATAATGAATATATAGCAATCTTACGGAAAAGCTGCAAAGTTTTTCCTTTACACCCAGACCAGCGAATATACAAAACGGATCCCGAAAATGAATCAGTTCAACGTAACAAATATGGCAGAACTAAATTCTGCAATGAATGCATCCCAAACAAAACAAAAATTTCTGGCATGCACATGTCTATTAGAGTGGCAATATCTAAAAGGGTTAAACCCTATGAACTGACTTTAGTATGAAATAAATAAATAAATAAAAAATAGTATTGCTGATATAAAAAAGCAAAATAATATTAATGGTTGCTTTCTGCCAAAGACCCAATTCGAAATATCATAAATATTGTAGAGAATGTAGGGCACGTCTTATTAAAACTTAACTTTAATATCTCACTTTGAAAATCGTTTGGAATGTGAACACATTGTTACAAAAATGTTCCATATCTGTATCAAGATAAGCACAGGCAGTATTTAAAGAGAACCGGCACTGCTGTGCTCCCCAAAAAAGTAATTTGATGATATTTGGCAATGGACTAGTCACTTGTATTGCCTGTGGTCTTCCTGCTGCTGATCTTTTCCTATTACTAACATATCATGCCTTGTTCTTCATTGTGTACATCTGTGGAGGTGGACATCTTACGGGTGGATTAGGGCTTTGCTTCTTTATGTCAGAGCTGCCCTCTTATTGACTGGTAATCTGATGACTGGTGGGCTAATGAT